CAATGTGTAATGACCAGTATTACCGTAGGCTGATTGATAGAGACAAGAGCCCAGCGCTCAGGGCGCCTGTCAGCTGCGCGGGAACTGTCACTCGAAGGCTGCTGCGGTGCGTGCTGTGCTTGGCTCTGTCTAAGCACCTGTTGGATCATGTCAGGGAAGCCACACTCGAGTTAGCTCATGGTATGCATGAGCATCTAACTCACCAGCACTTTTCACAGGTGAGCATGCGTAATATAGGGCATGATGAACATTAGTCCAGCTGTTAAAAAGGAGAAAAATTGAAAATTTAAACAGTAGTCCTAATTTCTTGCAAAATTATGTTGCTTCACTTATTGACCTCCCATTTCACGTTTTAGATTCTTAGTTCCTAGTTTTGTATAAACATTACCTGAAATAAGAATACAAGATTAGAAAGAAAAATTATTAAAAGTATGTGCTGTGGTTCTAGAGATACCTAATCATCTTTTTCATCTCTTAAAAGAGAAAAGTCTAACTTGGGAAGGAGATTTCATTTGTAAAATTGACTCTGTACCTTATAAGCAATGTTTAAATTCATTGGTGATAAATATGCATGTTGGTATAGTAAAATCCCATTTTTTACATAATGCTTTAATGGAAGTGGCAGTTTTATGAAATGAAAGTGACTAGTAAAAATCTGAATGATGCTCATAAGCCCTTACATCATTTTTATTGAGGTTTTTGTGTATTCTAATTCATTAATACAGGGGAAAAGGAGAACACTAACATGGTTTATTTCCTATAATTACTCAAATCGAATAGAATTTATTTTCAATAAAAGTCTTAAGGTAAATTGTCGGGGGTGGGGAGAGAAGAGTTGGTCTGTTTTTATAAAATGTCTTGATTTTTACTCATGAAACTTTGTTATTTTTCCAGCGATGTTGTTCACTTGGATATACAGGGTTCAGCACAAGTAACACCCCTTTTTTATTACAAAATCATAAGCATGTAATTCTGTAACAAGAATATCACACTCAAGCACACCATGGCATTTTAGGTAAAATGTTCAAATTAAAACTAAATTATTACACCCATATTGTTATCCTACCAACCATGCTCAAGCAGGCCTTACTTCTGTTGGACCCCGTATTTTCAGTATATTTCCCTCCAGATTTTTACAAATTAAATATTGTCTTTTAATAATTTAGATTACTTTTTATCTGATCCTTATAGGTTGAAACAGTATTTAGATTGCTGTGTAATAGATTAACTGGGGGAGCTTCCAAAAACAGCTTAGTGTTTACAGTTAAATTTGGTTTCTTTTTTTATGGTGTACCTGGAAGAAAAGGTCAATGTTAAAGGATAAACAAATACAGCAGGTCCTCAATTAATGTAGTTTTGTTCAAGGTAGTTTTGCTATAATGTTGATGAGATGCCATAAGAACTGACCCCTTGTTTATATCAGTTAGCCTGTGGCAAATTGGTTTCTTTATTTGTCATTTTTCTTAAAGTCGCAGGACCTATCTGTGATGTTAAGGGTTTAGCTGTATTTTAAAACTTTAGGCTCCCCCAGCTGCACGAGGTCGGGCGGGAGGAAGATGCTGGAAGCTGAGCTGGGAACAGATGTCTCAGTGCCATTGCAGTGCAGTCTTGCTGGCATCCTGTGCGCTGCTTTCTGTACACTTCACACCACCCTAGGAAATCTGGGTTGTTGTTTTTAATGTTTGTGGGTAATTCTGAATTGTTGGCATTTTGATCTGAAGGTGCTTCCTTGGTCTTGAGGCAGAATTGTTTCGAAACTAATAACTTGAAGCTCGTGTCTGGAAAGTGGGAAGATAGTGTATAAATCGCCTTCACCAGTCAGTGTGTGCCTTCTCCACCCCCAGGCTTTACACTGAAAGCCCACCCCTTTCTGGGAGTTGTTGCAAAGACACACACTTTGTCTGTGTCTTTCCCCAGCACCTGGGCCTCTTGGAGCTGGAGCCAGGCTTCCACAGGGTCCTTGTGATGCACGATTTTTAAAGGAGGGCCCGCAAATGTGTGCAGGGGGCGATGATGTCTGTATAGCAATGTGTGTGTCTTGGAGGGTGTGTGTGTGTGTTTGTGTTCTTCGACCCCGGAAAACTAGAGTTGTGTTCAGCAATATCTTTTTTCTGTCACCACTGCTGGTGTGACCCCCACCCAGAGCCGGCGGGGGCGGCAGGAGCGCAGCCCCTCGGCCCTCTTCATCAAGGGACCGGTGTCCTGCGCCGTGGAGTGAGGAGGGCAGAGCCTCAGCGAGGAGAGCGGAGGGCCGCCGCCTCCTCGTCCCCCAGGCCCTGCCTCAGCCCTGTGTCCAGTTTCCCCTCGGCGCCAGGAGCTTGGGGCAAGGACGGACTCTGGTCGGCACCTGGCTCTCCTGCAGGGTAGCTGAAAATCCCCTCAGGCCACGGGCACCTGCCCTGTTCTGTAAACTTCCAGTCCTGAGTAAGGAGGTGACGTGGGGCGCAGAAAGAGGGCTGTTTGTGCCGGGGCCAGCCGGCGACGCACGACACCCGAAGGCTCAGCCTTGCCTTGCCCGGGCTGGCTGGCTCGGCCTGCACGGGGCCTCCCTCTTGCCAGAGCGGGACGCCTGGGAGGGTAAACAGAGCCTCGCTAGGCTTTTCACCCTTCACGGTGTCGTTGCTCATGAAGTGAGAATAGCTTTTAGTACAAGTAACCCCCAAACAACAGGTGATCCACTAATATAGTTTGTTCTGTTTTAACGTGATATATGCATTCCTAAAAATTCCCATTCTACACAAAACACTGCATAAAAACCACAGGAGGTAGGGGAGAAATGAAGGTAGGTGCGCTGAAACACTGGCCCTGACCGGTGTGCTTGGACATGGCCCACAAAGCGGAAGGTTGCTGGTTCAGCTCCTGGAGAGGGCACCTGCCTGGGTTGTGGGTCTGGTCCCCTGTTGGGGTGCTGCAAGAGGCAACCCTTTGCTTTCACTCTTACATCTATGCTTCTCTTCCTCTCCTCCTCCTTCCCTTTCCCTCTTTTTTAAGTACATACATACATACATAAATTCTTAAACTTTATGTGAGCACACACACAGAAGAGGGGAAATTAATAAAAGTAGCAGCACAGTTTTGCACACGTTAGTCGGCAGGAAGTACATAAACACAGCAGTTAAGCATGGCACTTGATTCGTCTCGGGAGACCTGGTGTGTTTGCCCGTGGAAGTGGGCGTGAGCAGCAGGAGCGGGGGTCCCCTGCGGTAGAAGGGTGTGTGAGAACAGCAGGTGTGAGGTGTGGCCCTGGCCCACAAGGTGGACAGGTAGCTGCAGGTGGCGGCTGAGGCGGACCAGGGGTGTGTGGCGCAGTTCAGCAGGGGGCGGCCCCCCCGGGCTCTCCTAGCGTTTCTGCAGATAATCACGCATAAGCAAACGTGAAATTCGTTTTATACTCAGATTGTCCCCCTAATGTGCACATCAATCACATTGGAACAAAGTCACGGTTTCAAAATAAGCTTTATCGTAGTTTACAGTAGGTTATTTGATTTTGGAATTGAGTTTCTTTTTCGTTTTTCTTTCTACCATTATTGATTTCTTCATTTATATTTAAGTGAAGCCCACGTCAGATTGATTTTTCCTGCCCTGAGCACCTCTGGGAGAGAGGGAGCAGCCCGGGGTTCCTCAGCTCGGCATAGTCTCAGAGGGGGTTTCCGCCGCGGCGCACAGGTCTCTGTGCTCCTGTGTCTCCGTGGACACAGCCCCTGCCTTCCTAGGAGCCAGGCCCGGTGCCGGCGATACAGGAACCCAGGAGGTATCGCCCTTGTCCCCCGGGGCTGAGAGGCTCATTCAGCCGTTTTCAAGTCCCGATGGGAAAGTCTCTGTGGGCGGGGTGTCTTAGGGAGCACCCGCGGGCGGACGCAGCGTTCTGTCGCGGTTGCGTGGCGAGCACAGCCACTCCCCTTCTCGTCCCGTCTGCTTCCTTGTGAATGTGAGGTCTTGCCTGGGAAGATGAGCTCTCATCGCTTTACATGGTGAAAGATAGACATTTGAAAAGGGCCTGAGAGGCCTTGTAGTTCACACTCCCCCCCACCCCCCGAGTCCTAACACGCCCGGTGGTCAGGTGTCCACAGTGGATTGGTAAGTGGGGAAAGCAAGTCTCGGAGGGCTGTGAATAGTGTGACCCCGTTTTGCGACTCCTGCCTCCCCGCACACGCACGTATGCACTGTTTGTGTGAGCACAGACGATGTGGAAAATCTCCCCTATTGTTACCTCAGGGGGCAAAGGGAAGCTTATTAACTTCCTCTTTATACAGCTTTTATTGTTTGGCTTGTTGTAAGAAACATGTTTTACTTTTTTAATTAAAAAATCTAATAAAGTAGAAAATGAATAAATAATAACAAAATACACCCTGAGGACAGGGGCTGTGTTTCCGTCTTCCCCGCGGCCTGGGCCGTCAGAGCTGCCTGGGACGCCTCAGGTGTGGGCCACCCGGCAGGGCCGCAGTGTCTGGCGTCTGGTGGCCGGGGGTGTGACCGACCCGTCTGGCAGTGGCGCAGCGCCACGGGGGTTGCGGTGTTCGCAGACCGTGACGCCTCTGAGCCTCCCTTCCACGGCCGCGCTTAGCACACGCTGCACTGGGCCGTGGTTGCGCACCCAGGCCCGGCCCCCTCCCGGGCGCTCCTCGGCCCGGCGGCAGTCGGTGTGCGGCGCAGGCTCGGCGCTGGCCCTGGAGGGCAGAGCCTGGCCGCCCCCGGCTAGCAGGGAAACGCAGGCAAGTGACACGTCTTCCCGAGCCGCGGTCTCCGTGCTAGGGACACGGCAGCAGTCCTGTCGCCGTGAGGCGTGTTAGAATCTCGGGAGGTGCCTGCTGGCGTGGCGAGCACGTGGCGAGTTGTAGCTGTTACCGTCAGCGCATCCGCCTCTGCTCGTCCCTGATGCTTCCGAGCGCTGAGGTAGTTTTGGATCTGGAGCCTTCTCTTCGCCCCCCGCCCCCAGACTGCACGTCAGTCCTCTGCCTTCCCTCCCGAGGCTCCCCAACCAGGCTCTGTCTTGTCCCCAGGTCCCTTCACGGACGTCGTGACCACCAACCTGAAGCTTGGCAACCCGACAGACCGGAATGTGTGTTTCAAAGTGAAGACCACGGCGCCGCGGAGGTACTGCGTGAGGCCCAACAGCGGGATCATCGATGCCGGGGCCGCGATCAATGTGTCTGGTAGGTCCCGAGCCTGGAGGCTGGCGGGGTGGGCTTAGGAGGCCCCCAAGAGCCAGGGGGAGTTCTTCATGCTTCTGTTTGCGATGCAGCAGAATCCGAAGGTAGACTGCCCCCCCAGCCCCCCAGGCCTAGTGGGCCCCGCTCGCCTGTTGGCGCCTGTCGCTGAGGCTCCGTGGGTCGCTGCCCGCGGCCTCCGGGCCCGGCGGCTGGAGCAGGAGCAAAGTGGCGATTCCAGGCCTCAGAATGAGCGTGGTTTTCACTCCCTTGGAATCAAATCTGCCCTTTGGCAAGAAATAAAAAGGGCTAAACGAACTTAATTTTACTTTGTGGGAGAAAGCTAAATGGAGTTATTTTCTTATTTAAGCTAAATGATTTCTGACGTTAAGCTCCTGTCATTTCCAATGACTGGCAACTGCACTTCACGGATTGTGGAAAGCGAAGGGAGACGAGGGCCGAGGGAGTGGGGCACATCCAGGGGCGTGAGTTTGTGCATGTCTGATGGGCTCTCCCCTTCTGTCTGAGAGGGCATGTGTTTTCCAAAGTCAGACTTTTGAAAAGATGCTGGTAAAGTGCCCAAACGGAGAATTGGATTTCAGAATTAAGGAGATGTCAGTGATGGGTTTGAATTTAATGTATTTTAGAAATGGAATAAACTTTTAGCTTATTAGAACTTCTGGATCCAAGAATGCTATTGTGTTGGTGAAGGAGCTACGGGGGCGTGTGTTTATCCTTCAAGTATCAGGAGACTTTGTCACAGCGGGTTCTGTATCATTAGAAGCTACTACTCATCCGAAATGGGTACCTGGCTGGCTTTTTCCATGACAGATTTTGATTGTGATACATTTGGCTATTCGCTTGACACCTAAAGAAAGTGATTCACTTCTTTGGAAAGACAGGAGGTGTTTCATTATCTGATCATTTCTGCAAACTCTTCTTCCCTGCATCTGCTGGTCTGTCTCATTACGGCGCCTACGCCAGCTGCCCCCTGTGCGCCCCTCTCTGAGGCTGCACGGCCTGATCTGGACCCTTGGGTTGGCTGGTTACCCACCCAGGAGCGGTCAGGAGGGGAGGAGCCCACGTTCCCTGAGGGCCTCCCGCGCGCTGGGCCTGCACACAGATGCTCCCCTGTGATTTTCGCTCTCTGCCCTGGGAGGCGGGCACTGCCGCTCCATTGCACCATGGCGGGGGCTGGTGGCCGTGGTGGCAGTGGGCTCAGGAAGCCCACCTGGGGCAGCAGGCTGGCTCTGAAGCCCCGGCGCTCTGACCCAGAGCGCCCTGCAGGACGGAAGGCGAGGCCCCGGCTGTCAGCGCTTCTATGCCCTTTGGCTCCCCAGGTTTAAAGGCCACGTGGCTTTCCATTTCTCTGTTGTAATCAAGAGCGGCCTCATCTTTCATTCCCTTCTTTCATCGACTTTTCTTCCCATCTCAATTTCTTTGCCCATAGCAAATTTGAGCAAAGGTTGTCAGTAGATGAGAATTACCAATTTTCACAGTAAATGTGGGAGCGGCAACATGGTTTTCTGGATAAAATAGTCTCAACAGGCAGTTGTACAGTGTGGGGGTGCTTCCTGGTGTTTTAAGTGTGTGTGTGTATGTGTGTGTGTCTTCCAGAAAGATCCACCTCTCTGCATCATAGAAATGTTTTTTAAAGTAGTAACTAACCCTGGACATTTGTTTTGACTTACAATTACGTACTTAAGGAAGACGGAGACACGGTGGGCACGGCCTGCCTGGGCAGACGAGCAGGGCAGGCCCAGAGAGCAGGCGTGGTTGCCTGGAGCCCCGGGGCGATGCGTGGCAGAGTTGGTGTCCGAAGCTGGGCGTCCGAGCTCCTCGTCCAGGGGCGCTCCGCAGCTGCAGCCGTGCTAGGGAAAGCCTCCCCTTACAGGCAGATGTCAGAAGTAGAGCAGCTGAGTAATAACATGTCCGTATGTCTACACGCCTTCTTCCTAGGTGAGACAGGAGATGTTTGCAGGTGGAAAAGGACTCCTTAGCTTTTATTTGGGGTGTGTTTTATTTCATTGCTTGAGGTGCATGTCAGGCGGGTGCAGATGTCATTACATTTCCAGGACAGCCTCACCCAGTGGCACAGGAAGCTGGCGCTCCTATGTTGCAGTTTTACTGTATCATTTATTCGACATTCATACCTTGGGGTAGTAAGCACTGCGCCTTCCAGGGGCGCTCTTCAGTGCAGGCCCATGGTGCTGGCTCGGGGAGCACGTGGCGCTCCCCATTCCCACGAGGGAGAGGGTATCCTTGGGAGGCGGGCGGTTCAGGTTGTCCCAGGGCCAGCCCGCCCTTCTCCCAGGTGCACTGGTGGCCAGAGGTGGCCTCGCTCACTCGACCCAAAGGTCATTAGATTTGGGGTCCAGAAACCCACCCAGGAAGCCCAGCTCTGCTCTTTAACTTGGTGGTGGACGTGTGGCCAGCCCGTCGGCCCCCCTCAGCTGCCGTTGTCCCGCCTGTAACATGGAGGGCCGTGCCTGCCGCCCAGAACAGTCGCCGTGGCCTGCCAGCAGGGGGCGGTTGTGGGGTGGGGGGGCCCCCAGCTCTGGCGCAGACCGGCTGGTTTGTTGTGGGCGGGGAAGTGTGTGTATTTGAGTTGCCTTTTTAGAAATACACTAATTGCATGCATTTCAACAATTTATGGACTTTTTCTAATTTTAAGAAGAAATTTGTGGTTTTTCCTCTTTCTGTATTCTGCATTTGTTTTTAGTAAGAGCCGAGTGTAAATTTTTAGATACAATCTGTGAAAAGGTGGCCATCAACCCAACCTAAAAAGCTAGCAGCATCGCCCTGCCTATGGCCCAGAATGTCACCCCATACCTGGAAAGGACATGACTAGTACAGTATTCCTCTCCCATTTCTGAAGACCCGGGGGATGTGCAGCTGTCAGGGAAGGCTGCACGTCCTTCCTGGAGAGGGCAGCGGCGGGGGCGACGCCCAGCCACGGCGCTGGCGGGAGGCACCGAGGCGGGGGTGCGGGGATGAGGGCTCCTAGCTGTATACCGTGGAACTTACCTTTTTTTTTTTTTTTTGTCAGAAGTCCAGATTCTGACCTTTCATGCTGTTTTCTTCAAAAGATGACAAATCACTCATTGGTTTCTTAAAAAAAAAAAAAAAAACAAGACAAAACCATCTTTTATGAGCTTAGGTGTTTCGGAGCGGTCGCTCAGGTCTCTCATTTGAGCTCTTTTCTCTGTCCTTGGTGCTCATCTTGCCTCCTTCCACCAGGAGCCCCTTCCGGGCTGGGCCTCTGGATGAGGCAGTGCAGCGCAAGGCGGGCGGGGCCTTCCATTCTCAGTAGTTGGACCAGGAGGCTGTGGCTTTGGCCCCTTGCTCCCTGATTCACACCATCTACTAGAGGTGGTTTTGAATTATTCAAATCTGGACCTCAGCAAAATCGGCACACTTAAATGGAGATTGGAGAAAAGGAGATTGGATTTTTTTCCCCCTGAGATTTTAAATGCAAGGAAAATAGAACTTTTTGAATTAATGAATTGTTTGAAGCAGTGGGGGGTCTCCCCATTTGTTCTAGCTTTACAAAATTAAATCTATTTTCTGAACTGTCTAGTGGGAAAATATTTTTAAGGTAGATAATTTCTGAAAAAGTCTTTGTGGTAAGCTGTTAGTGGTTGTCGATTTTTTTTTATAATACTGCAGTTTAATAATGAGGGAGTTTTCCATTAATATTCCAAACCATGTTTGCCAGCGGATACAGCAGGTGAAGTGGTAAAATTATGGGCCCATCAAAAATACTTAGGCTTCCTGTAATATGATATTAAGTTTAATATTTTTATAACCTTCACTGAATTCTAATTCCACTAAAGTAGCAAGCACGCTTCCATTTGCAGTGCAATTATGCACATTGGTTGCCTGTGTACCAAGCAAATTAGAAATGCAAAATATCCCTGTGATAGGAGGGGCATTGGAAAGCGTCATTAAAGATGCCCATATTTAGGTACAGCTACACTTTACTGAGTGCACCCTGGGAATTGAAAATGGATTAGAGACAAACACACACAAATCTTCTAGTGTCTGTATCTGTATTTTAAATTAAAATTCAAAGAATTAAGGAGCAGCATTCATTCCTGACATATATTCCTTTTCAGCACTTATTTCCATCACATTTAAAGCATAAAGTTCTTCCAGTAAAATCCTGAGGACAATGAATATCAGCAACTCTTCTTGGATGGAAACATTGGTCAATTAATGTAATTGGGTAGTATTGCGATTGATAATTAATCCTTTTAAGGTTTTGCTGACTCAGTGTAATGGAGCTGCTTGCGTACCCGGGACCAGCCAGCCTTGGGCTACAGCTTTTAGGTGATTCGCACCCGAGCAGAGTGCGCTGCCTGCAGAGAGAGGTCAGGCGTCAGCCGCCATGTGCTGGAAGGAGGGAGTCGAAGGGGCGGGCGTCTCGGCGACCTCGTCCCTCTCCGCTTGGTCATTTGCTCTGGAACTGAAGTCTCTGACAAGAGAAACACTTTATAAGTAGTTTTCATGAACCAAGTTTATCACTCTCAGGTAAGAATAGCTCATGTTCACACTGCACAGGTATCGCTAATCTTTTTCCCCACACGAAATTCTGGTTTTATAAAAGGAAATTGCCAACAAAAAATGAGCTAAATTATACTTTTAAAGATTTTTTTTTACAGTTTATAATATTTAAGTTTCTTTAGAAAAATTCTGTTTCATTTTTTATGAGTACGACACGATTGATTTAGTCTTACATTTTCAAAGGTCAGCGACTTACAGGTACACGCAGTCCTTCTTCACTTAGCTGAAGATAGCTCTGCAGCGTGGCTGTGGATCAAAAACTCAGCGGGACTTCGGGGCATGCAAAGTCATGTTCTTGTCACTTCTTACAGTTCTTTGCATGTTTACACACTGTTAACCAGTCACAGGCCAGAATGAAGGGACGGGGCAGCGCGAGGCGGCCACAGTGGGGGGCTGCACAGGACCCTGTAGCGAGCACGTGGGAGGTCAGAAACAGCAGG